AAAATACTAGTTCAACGTCTTGGTAGTGATTATTTAGTCATCTACAAATCAAACTTCTTACATAAGGACTATTGAATGTAAAACACTATGGTCATACGATGAAACTAGTCAAAATGAATAATGAATGGACTTCATCTAACAAATTATTACGGCTGTTATATTTACCCGGATACTGCTATTATTCGGAGGTAAATAACTTGATGCGTTTCTCAAATATTTCGTCTAAAAATCAGATAAACTATATGAATTAACATTTTAGTGCCCTGACATGGTGCAAAATTTATATATTTTATCAAGCTGATCTCACTGACCATTGTATATGTTATGAATTCCATCTTTAGAGGTTACCATGCATGTTCTTTGATAAGCAGAACTTACTAAATGCAATGATTTTGTTCTCGTGGGTACCAAACATGTTTATGCAGTTCGCTCGCGTAGTGGATATATATATTGGACTTACATCGGAACTGTTCTAAGAAGACCAAAATATATATATATATATATATAAGGATTAAAAAAAAATAATCGAATTCTCCTCAACATTATTAAGAAGCGTGAAGAAGAGCAGAGTAAACAGGAAGAGAGTAGATAGCGATTGATGTTGCATTTACATTTTTGAAGATTAAAGCTGGCTGGAAAGCATAGAGCCGGAAGTGTCTGCCACTAGTGAGAAGAAACTGTTAGCATAGGACTTACGGTTACATCTAGCAAATTTAACTGAAAATTGATGAGAACTTCCAATCCAGTACTGCGCTTAATTTGTTAAGTTTTAGGCATCACTGCGAAGAGCTCATTCAAACAATTACAATGAAATTATTTATCGAAAAGGCACAATAACATTTCGGCGGTGTGAAAGTGACTGCAGCCAAGACGCCAGGTCAGGACCAATAATATTGCTGATTCTCCTTTAAGAAACTCTAAATATATAGTAGGAGCAGCGGGCCATATCCGGCAGCAACATTCATGAACGATTGGTAGACTTATATTTATGTAAGATAGATTTTGAAGAAAAAATGTCTAGCGTGACACTGGGAACAAACATATTTAGCAGCGGACCAAGCAATGAATTCAATATAGACTTACCATTTCATATCAGCCGAGAATGTTTGCCCGAGAAGGCGGAACGAGTCACTCTTCTGGAGGTTAGCTTTAGCCAGGCTGAGTTATCGGCAGACATAACATAATTATATACGCTACCAAGAAATAATCTGTATCTATAAAAGGCAGGATGTGTGTGTGTGTGTATGTGTGTGTGTGTGTAACGAATGCACGGCCGCAATTTTCGACGGATTTGCACCAAAATTTACATGCACATGCTTCAAGTTAGTGAGAAGGCCAAGACCGACCTTACATTTCCCAACTCCCATTGATAGTGGAAATAATCAATTTTTTCATGTTTCTACGGCAGTTTTCATGTAGTTTGCGGCCATTTTGTACTGGCCAGAGTTAGAGCCTATAGCTGGCTGCCACGAATAGGCAGGAAGATTCTATTGGCCAGCGTGAGAGCCAACAGCCGACTGACACGAATGTTAACTAGCATGCAAAAAAAAAAAATTGAAGGCTGCATTCGTCACAAGTGGGAAAAAATTAAATCTGCATGGAACTTTACTCCAATTGGCTTATTCGCTTGCTTAAACTCAACATTGATTTTGATTCGGCAGAACTGGGTTGGGTGTGAAAAAGTATTTGTTGTTAACATTCTTTTTTCATTCGGTTTTTCTAGTTACGAGTCCTTTTTTTAAAGTTGATCGTTTTGTGTTCATTTTGTTTAGTTCTTTTTTCGTAACAGATTTAATGTTTAGTATAGAGCTTAGAAAAAATTGGCAGTGTGAGGTAGGCAAGAAATAAGGCATGTAGCAACATCAGTACGGCAAAGGGCACTCCTTTAAAGACAAGCAAGAGCAAAAATATTTTAAGTCAGATGATAGCGATTGCTGTATGAGTCGTACGATTTTTGAATCAAGCACGAGCAACGCCGGGCCATGCTGCTAGTCAGAAATATGATAGGGTTATCAATATACTCCATTCTTTCTTTAGTTAAACGATATATTCTACGTATACTAGTGTTTGGGTAGATATACTTGGTTTTTAAACAATTTTTAGTCTACCGGTCTCTGCTTTCGTATAGGGACTTGTATTTTATCAAGACACTTGAATACACAAGTCGGGAGACGAAATGGTACATTGTTTAAATCAATACAATATAACATGTAAACCACCTTGTGGTAGAGAATAACGTTAATCGCTATCAAACACTTACTATTTTGTAAAGAAACACGATCAATAGACCCGTAACCCATTGAGATCATAGAGGCACCTTGTGTACTGCAGCCGCAGTAGTATTGGTGTTTCCTGGGTAAGATAGCCTTAGGGAGCCCAAACTTCCACAGGCTGGTTTTGAATACAGCGTTTTTTCTTTCTCTTAAACCGGTTGCCACCCAAGGCTAAAGGATCCAGCCTGTCATAGATATGAAGAGAAGAGATGAACTGATACTTTTCTCAATGACTTTGAGGATCTGGATTTTTATCATATAACACTCATACACTATCATTGTGATATAAGGGCCTACTGAAAAACCATCTTAATTTCAACATGTTGCTTGTTTGTTTTTAGTAAGTTACATTTTAGATTTGATACCATTTTCCTAGTGAAAGGTAACTTTGCAAAACATTACTACTGTAGCAAGTTCGAGCATCATTAGTTTCACTATAACTTGTTCCCTTGAACTGTGCTAAATCGCAATTAATATATATAGATTTTAGTCCATTTGGAGCACCTCCTTAAGAGTTTAGTTAATTTCTATTTTGAGTGAACCTTAGCTCCATCGATCACGATTGCAAATCCCGTAACCCTATTAGGGTTGCAGGGGCACCACATACTCTGCAGTCGCAGTGGCCACGTTAGAAGTGGTGTTTCCTGGGAAAGGTGGACTGATGGAGCCTAACCCTTTACAGACTGGTTTGAATTCAGAGTTGTCATTCTCGTCAAGGCTGGTTTTGAAATCAGACTTTTTCTTTCCTCTCGACCGGTTGCTTCCCAAGGCTATCGGATCCAGTCTGTCTTGCTGTTTATCCATATCTGGGAGAAGATATGGATTAGTGCCTACCCCAAAAGGGGTATTAGCACGGAATTCGAACTCAGCTCTTCGATTTCTCAATCCGATTCACTATCCTTTACTGCACGATGAAAATAACGGATTGTTGCAGATAAGCTGATGAGCGGTTATGAGAGATTGGATCATATGCGATTACATTAGATATATTCAATAATGGATAAAGGGCAAAGTACTAGTTTCAGGAGGAGTAGATAGGTTCGTTTATCGCCTGATTCAAACTCCTCCCTTGTATTTTGAACAGGAGCATATATTTATCCTATATTTCCGGTCTCGGATTGAATTTCCAAATCCCTTCTAAAGTATTTTACTTTTTTCACAAGCGTGATGCCTTGTGTCTTGGTATCGCCTTGCTTGGAGTGGGTCCTTTTACTTGTAACCTTCTAGCTTGAGTGGTTCTTGGGCCTTGTACAGGGTGAACATCATTGTAAAAAAAGGAAATATTCGTCATTTATTGACTGAAAAGTTAGCGCTATTGCAGATTGAAATTTATAAATTCACATTTGTTTAAACCAGTTTCTCAGGAAATTCGACTTCTCAAATCATCCACAGTGATTTTTAATATTACTGGAAATTTCATTTCAACCTTTTTGCTCATGATAGTATGGAAAATAAAAAACAGCTTTATTTTATCATTATTTTTTCTTCTAGTTTCATTTGTTTTTTTTTTTTAATATTTCATATTAAGCAAGGCAATAAAGTCACTGACGTGCATGGGATTACTGAGAGAGAGAGAGAGAGAGAGAGAGAGAGAATATAACAAAAACGCTATTAAGAACAGAGAACAATAAAAAAAAGAATTAAGATGACAAAAGATAAAAATTGAAATTGTATTTAAATGTTTGAAGATCAAAATTGACTGCAAAACAAGAAAACGGAAGAGAGTTCCACAAACGACAAGTGCGAGAGAAGAAAATTTTAGCATAAAACTTACGGTTACATCTACTTATTTCAAAAGGTCTATCCCATATTTTGTTGTTGATAGTGCTCAAAGCGTTCAAATGATATTTTTTTTGTGATTGTGTAGCGTCAGTCTATTGGGTCTGAGGAAGAATCGCTTTATTTAAGATTTAATTGTTTTTTTCGCTTAAAGTGAGAAATTGTTTTGAATTTAAACAATCAATGGGGTGAATTAAGCCATATTGAAAAATATGCGATTCACTTAACTAGCTTATGGTTTTGATTACTTAACTCAGCGGGTGGGGCAATAAATCTTACGGTGGCATATCACAAAGGTTTACGAACTCACACAAGCATCCAACAGGTGGCAACAACTGCTGACTTATGTCGAGGACGTCAAGTACAATCTGTACAGCAGCCAACGGACTAGGTTCTGACCTATTTATTACTTTGACTGTCTGAAATTTCCTCTTCCCAAGTGAAATTCATCTATTTCTGCAAAACTTTTATATCGAATCTAATTTTGAATTTCTTTTTCCTTTCTATTTTCCGGGCCTCATAAAACTGCTCTTCTTTTTACGTTTTGCTTAAAATTTTATTTCCAGTTATTAGTTAGATCGAAAACTGGCGGCGGCAACATTTTTTGTTATTCGAAGGCTTTGAAGTTCGACCGGACACAAAAATTGTGTTTCCCGATAATAAATAAATAACAAAGCCTGCAATGAAAACGGCATTATTATTATTATTAATAATAATAAATCGCAGAGAAAAATAAAACAAAAAAAGGGCTATTCACTTGCAAAGTTTCATTACGGGCGATGTGAGCCGATCAGGTCAGGACTTCCTCTTTAAAAAGTTAGGGTCTCAGGAATGCGAACATCTAAAGCTGATAAAGCAATCAATACAGTGTATATTGAACAAAGCATCGATAAAACAAAGAGGAAGTCGATTCCGGATCTATTGAAGATGTTGAGACATTCAATAGTATCATAAAAGATTGACGAGTGTAGATGGGACGAAATAGCTGAGCAGCGGAAATAGACCAAATTCAGAGACATATAGAGCTAGAGAGAGTGGCAGTAGAGAAGGGACAGAGAAGTAGATAGATAGATAGATAGATAGATAGATCTGAAGAGGTTCAGACACATATGTAATAAGATAGATTTGAAGAGTGAAGTAGATAGATAGATAGATAGATAGATAGATAGATAGATAGATAGATCTGAAGAGGTTCAGACACATATGTAATAAGATAGATTTGAAGAGTGAAGTAGATAGATAGATAGATAGATAGATAGATAGATAGATAGATAGATAGATAGATAGATAGATCTGAAGAGGTTCAGACACATATGTAATAAGATAGATTTGAAGAGTGAAGTAGATAGATAGATAGATAGATAGATAGATAGATAGAACAAGACCAATATAAAGAGAGAAGAAATGAACAAATTGGGATAGGTAGGTAGGTAGATAGATAGATAGATAGATAGATAGATAGATAGATAGATCTGAAGAGGTTCAGACAAATATGTAATAAGATAGATTTGAAGAGTGAATTAGATAGATAGATAGTGAGAGAGAGAGAGATGTGGAAAGAGTGAGCTAGATTTGAATATATAGATAGATACAATCAATCTGAAGCAAATATTGAATTATGAAATAACAGACAGATAATATAAATGTGTGTGTGTGTTTATATTCGTTGCTTTTGTTTCGCGGCAAATCGGCCTCTTTGGGTTACTTACTACTGAAACGTAAATATTTTAGACTCGACTATATTTTTATTTATTTTATTTTAATTTTTTGGGAGGTAATAATGTTTTAGATAAATATCTAGATAGAGGCATGCTAGTGAAACTAAGAAGTTAGAAAGAGATGGGCGAAGAGATGGCAACAGATTAAATTAAGATATTAACATACTGATTAAACGCTGACGTGAATTGAACAGAGGAAAAAAACATGAAAATTTAGGCAATAATGATATATATATATATGGTGGCAGCGTTAAAAATGTCACACAGAGTATCAATCTGAATAAAGACGAAAGGAAAACTTTACGGACGCTTCTAGTTCTCTGATGGGCGAAATATACATACATATATATATATATATATATATATATATATATATATATATATATATATATATATATATATATAGAGAGAGAGAGAGAGAGAGAGAGAGAGAGTTCGAATCCAGGTTGAATCCATTACATTCTCTTACGTGCTAATACACTTGGGAAAGGTGTGTATCCTATTCTTCTCCCTCCAGCTATGGGTTAAATAGCAGGACAGACTGGGTTCTATGGCCTTGGATGGCAACTGGTCTAGGAGAAGGAAAACTCTGAATTCAAAACCTGAGGGGGGTTGTTTGGTGACCTTGTGGCACGCAGTGCACCAGGTCTCTGTATTCGTCCCTTCAAAAAGTGTGGATGGTCCTGCACGAAACCTTCACCACTATAATCGAATCTCATGTGCCAATGTCGGGCTGTCAGTTTCCTGGAAACTGATCTGCTTGACCCTCATACGTCGAACCCGACGGGAGAATCGATTATATATATATATATATATTTATATTTATAAATATATATATATATATATTGCTTGAACCGGCTTCTAATGCTCCGGATTGAGCGGCTTGGGGGTAGTAGTCATAGCTCGTGGGGGCACAGTCCTATGGTTAAAGAAAAACACAAATCCGTTCCACCACGGAATATTTGATCGAGTCTCATTCGCTACCTCGTCGTCACCGAGGCGTGTTGGAGCAGTTGGTATGACGGTTGCCTGATGACGTGACTGTCCGGGTTTTACTTCTTGGTATTGATTGCGCACTGCTGATGAGTCCCAAATCGAGGACGAAACGACCGTCCAATGCTTTCTGAATTCCGTTGAGGTTTCTTCCTGACTCGATGAAGTACTTATAATTCTCTCAAATCCTCCTAATTTCTATTATATATAATTTTATTTATTCAAAAATTATAACATACACATGTTATAACATCACTACAAAAATAGCCATTTTTCTTCAAAACTTCTGGTGTCTTGTCAAATGTAGGTGTTCTAATTTTTGAATAAATAATATTTGCTCTACTCATTGTGCTGAGCATCCTTTTAAGAACAGCGGTGTTGGTTATTGGAATTTCATTCCGCATACATCAAGTATATACTTTGTATACACATATATATATATATATATATATATATATATATATATATATATATATATATATATATAACATCTATGTTTCAAACTTTAGTTTCCTCAGGCGATATTGGTCAAACATCTTTTTAAATTTGAAAGCTTTTTTCACGGTTAATCTTTATTTTTATCTTCTTTGTATGTGGTTTAATCACTTTTTAATGAAACTGTTTCCTGATTTAATTTAAATTGACCAGTAACTATATATATATATATATATATATATATATATATATATATATATATATATATATATATATATATATATTCAAACAATCATGTACACATGATAGAAAAATTATTAGGAGGGTTTAATAATTATATTTTTAAGTAATTCATCGAGTCTGAAAGAAACCGGTTTGGACCGGCTTCTAATGCTCTAGAGTGACCGTATTGGTGATAGTAGTCGTGGCTCCAGGAGGCACAGTCCTATGGTTACAGAGAATCTCAATAAGAGTTCCACCACGGAATATGTGAGCGAGCTGCGCTATACTGAGTCTGAGTTACCATCTCTTCGTCACCGAGGCCCGTTAGAACAGTTGGTATGATGTTTGCATGACAACCTATCTGTCAGGGTTTTCAGTTTTTGGTAGTGGATGCGCACTGCCGATAAGTCCCAAATATTGGACGAAAAGGCCGTCCAGTGCATTCTGTTGAGGTTTCTTTCAGACTCGATGAATTACTTAAAAATATATATACTTTTTTATTTTAGGATGTTGCATCAAAGACATGTAAAAACTCTACACAAATGTAATCAGGCGTTAGTCAATGACCGGTGTGTAGACAATGTATTGAGATTTTAAAACAACAAAAGGAAGAAAATAGTCTTTTTCTTTCCTTCTTTTTTCTTACTCTTTCCTTTTCTTCGTTTTCCAATGTAAACAGGCGGTATGTTGTTTTTAAATCTCAATAAATTGTCTACTCAGCAGTCATTTACTAACGCCTGATGTGTTAATAAACATCGAAACATGATTGCATTTAAGTGGCGTTTTTTCATGTTTTTGATCCTAAAATAAAGAATATTGCTCTTCTTTTGTATTGAGCCCTCTTTTAAATTTAATGTTTAATTGGATTCTATTCGTGCTCATTTTACACACACACACACGCGCGCGCACATATATATATAAATATATGCTTCTAGCGACATGAAATATTTTGTTCAATATTGAAATGCATTTTACAGAGTCAATGAATAAGACATGATATTGTCTTAAAGAAATCCGTTAAATAGTAATATCTTACTTATTATAAAACGCAGATTGTGTGTGTGTGTGTGTACGTTTATATATTGGATCGGATTTCCTACATTTTACAACTGATTTCAGCAAAACTTCACAGGACTGCATAAAATTACCTTGCGGTGGTTCTAACAGCGCCAAATATTGGAAAAACACAATTGTTTTTGCACGAAATCAATTTGAAAGCATGGTTAAGTGTATCTCACCCGGTCGGAAGTTCCTGCCGGCTACTCAAACGTCCGAATGCCGTTAACTTCAGGTGAATCAGCGTTTTTTTTTCAGAGAACGATACACAAAAAGTAAACAAATGAAATCTAAACATAGACAAGTCTTCCTAACTAAAAATAATAACCGGAAACTACTTCAAATACACATGGTGTCCAAATTTTTTTTACTGTATTCAATAAGTAAAAATCATAAATTGTAAAAGATTACAGAAAGGCTACTAAATGAATAAGATTTGTTAGATCATCTTACTTATTATAAAACGCAGATTGTGTGTGTGTGTGTGGCTGTACGTTTATATATGGGATCGGATTTTCTACATTTTTAACCGATTTCAACAAAACTTCACAGGACTACGTAAAATTACCTTGCGGTGGTTCTGACAGAGCCAAAAATTGGAAAAACTCAATTGTTTTTGCACGAAATCAATTTGAAAGCACGGTTAAGAGACATCACGAGAATGAAAGTGGGACAACTCATATCGAGTTATACTTATTATAAAACCCAAGTTGTGTGTGTGTGTGTGTGTTCGTTTATATATGGGATCGGATTTCCTACATTTTTCAACCGATTTCAACAAAACTTCACTTTTTTTGGCAGGTAGTGTTTCTTATTGTCTTGCACACTTTTTTCTTTATTTTTAAATACAGAATGCTTTAAAAATTCCATTTACAAGACAATTGTTTATAATAAAATTCTATTCAATCAGTAGATCCATAACGATTGAAAACAGTGTTTTGTTTGAGTTTGGGTTTGACCAATTCGTAAAAAAAAAAAAAACTAATTAAGACATGCGTGTCCGTCAACCTTAAACAATAATCTTTGTCAAATTTATTTTTCAATCTTTATGATGGTCGATACTTGATCTATCTCTTACTGTTACATCCCCGGGCAACGCGGGGCTCTACTGCTAGTATATAATAAAACTTAGGAAGACTTTGTAATTATTGACTAGTGTTCTTTTCATCGGGTTATAATCTGAATGGAGATACAGACTTCAGTTAAACTACTAGAACATAAAAATGCATTCGGTGCACCAAGTTTGATTTTACCTCACTATGATGGCCTATTGGTAAAAGCAAGAATCAGGGATAAGGTCCTGCTGATTGTACCAGGTTACGAAGCAAAATGAAGTATTTCTTATTTAGAAAGGAGTTGGACACTGCCACGTAACACATGAAATACTAAATGCTTCTGAATCTTATATCCATATACTCGGTAAGGCATAATTTGCCTTTATTTGTAGCTACAATATTTTTAAAACAAGAAGTGATAAATTCAGAATAACTCCCAATGAAAATCAAAATAGTATCATATGGTCATGGAACGTTATCCTATAGGAACGTCTATTTTACTTATGGAAACCTGAGCGTTATATAACTCTCAGATCTATCGACTTATAGCATTTATTGTATTGTTTATAATATCCAGGTCAGATCAGGTTAGTCGTGATATTCAAACTTGTCTGTTGATCATATGAAAAATGCTATTATTCTGAAATGGTATATTTTATATAACATCTCTTTAATTATATTTGGTATGAAACAAAAGATTTCTTTATTGTCTAAATATGAGCAAAAACATATTTAATAATTTTTTTTTTTATAAATCGATTCACACCAAGCAAGGAAATAATGCCGCTAAGATGCAACCGGTTACTGGGAGTGTAACAGAATGAAAAAAAAATCTAGAATTAATCGGAAACTCAATCCTAAAAAAGAAACAAGGGATAAACCGGGGTGGGCATGTGAACCGGACTATTAGAATGCAATATATATATATATATATATATATATATATATATATATATATATATATGAAGCAATATAGTCGTAGTGTGTGCTATA